TCATGTGTACAACCTAAATGTATTTACATGTACATAGTTTCATGTGGCTCAAGTGAAAATTTGGTAAGATGTAATTTTTTTTAAAATAAAATTTTAAAATAATAATTTTTAATATATATATATTTTTAAAAATATTGTTTTAAAAACCTGAGTTCTATGAATAATGTGAACTGCTAAAAAGACACTCCTAGAGCAAATCAAGCCTGCGCTCTCCCTAGAAGCCAAGATGGCTAAACTGAGATTGTTATACTTTGGCCACATCATGAGAAAACAGGACTCACTAGAAAAGGCAATAAAAATTGAAGATAATAGGAGAAGAGGAAGACTATGTACTAGAGGGATAAGTTCGATCAGAGAAGCCATGGCTGTGAATCTGCAAGAGCTGAGCAGGGCAGCTGAAGACAGGGAGACTTGGAGGTCTCTCATTCATAGGATCACGTAAGTCAAAGTTGACTTAAAGGTAGTAAACAAGAACCACAACTTTCCCCCTCTCTCACTACAGATAACATTCCTTGATTCAATGTATAACCGGACACTTGCTATCAAAGGCAAATGGACCATAATCAATATTCCAAGAGCACTCATCACGATGGTTTCCAAAATATCATATACTTTTCAGACTACATGGCATTTGTTTATAAGATAGGCAAATTCTAGGCATGGCCTATCATCGAACCATATGATATTTTCGAAGCTTAGTAAGTACAGTTGTTGGTCTTGTTTTAGTGGTAGTGTAAAATCTCCCAAAAGGACCAAACAAAAGCAAGAGAGAGTGGGGGGAGGGAGGGAGAGAGAGAGAGAGATTCCAAAGAAATTTATCAGCAAAGTATCAATGAAAATGCAGCACTATAAAGAACAAAAACCTGTAGTTAATACAGTGATATAGTATATAATAACTCTCACATAGTTTGTCAACCTGCAGAATACTGACATCATGTCTCATGGCAGGTCTCATCGCTCAGCCCTCTTCTCTACATTGTTGGGTAAAATAAAACTGATTTTAAGATTGAAGTGAGGAATGGGTGGTATTGAACTACAACTGCCATCAATGTTGGCTAGTTGTGAGAAACAGTGGGAGCAGTAGTACATGTTGAGAGGGATGACATATTACCTATCCCTGCTGTAGTAATTTTGGGATGGATGGGGTCTAATCAGAAATCACCAAGAAACTGGTTAAACAGCAACATTTCCCATGAGAGCAAGAGAATTCCAGTTTGCTGATTCATTTTTTTTTTTTAAAGGAAAGGATTCTCCGGGCTGCAACTAGGCACACCTGTTTGCAAACAATGCTTCCTTTCCAAATGTGCCAATTAGATTCAAATATATATGTATGAGGACAAACCTTTGCAATCTGAAATTGCACCCATGTGAAGTCCTGAAAGCCACCGCCTCGTAATGGCACTAAATCACAGGGTTTTGTAGAGAGACGGTGTGTCAAAATGCTGGCGGTTGCTTAACAAGGAGAGCGGATTGCTGCTTCTCTTTCCCCCTCCCTGTTCTTCCCTTTTGAACTTTTCACTTGGAGGAGTTTACCTGACTAAACATTTAGGCCAAGATTTAAATACACATGCTGCAACCCCCCTGCTCCCTGCAAAAATGGCAGCCATCCCTTGTCCTAAAGAAGCAACCCTATTGCTCTATTTTTATTTCATTTGAAATACAGCCCTCTCTGCACTGGGCGGGATACTCCAAGGCTTCCCCATCCTCCCCCTGTTACCTCAAGCTCTCCATTCTTGTGTTGGCATGCATGTCCCAGCATGGCTACTGCCGTGGTAAGTCACATACTCCTAAGGTATGTACCATCGATCAGAACGAGGCACCCAACACTGGTCAGAATGAGACACTCACCATCAGTCACATAGTCTGCATGCCTCTTGGTGATGTTACAGCCACATCGCAGTGGCATTGGCACTGAGTGGCACAGAAGGATGCATTCAGACAGATGCCCCACATTGGAACAAAGAGCTTCCAGGAAGGTCTGGAGCAAACAAGGAGTTTTTAAAAATGCATTACATGAAATGTGTACCCTGCGTTTGGCACTGAACATGCCAGATATTGTCCAGTGTGTTCAAGCCAGACTTGGGGTTTAGGCTGTGCATTGTCCAGTCTCCCTACCAAGGGGATGGAGGGAAGCTGGTTTACTTGGCACAGGCGGACAAGTTGTAAATTGAGCCCTTGTGTTCCTTCAAGTCATTCCCAATTTATGGTGACCTTAAGGCGAACCTATCATAGGGTTTTTGGCAAGATTTGTTCAGAGAAGGTTTGCCATTGCCTTCCCCTGAGGCTGAGAGTATGTGACTTGCCCAAAGTCACCTAGTGAATTCATGCCCAAGAGGGAATCAAACCCTGTTCTCTAGAGTCATAGTCCAACACTCAAACCACTATAATACACAGCAGTATTAATACAGTATTAATGCACATGAAGAATCAACTGAGAAGAAAATACAATGAAGGAAATTTGCTTTAAACAAATTTAAACAAATATTTTTGTATAAATATTTCTATCCTACCCTTTTGTCAGATTGACACTCAAAGTGGATGACAATGGTTGCACCAAGAAGACCTTCCTTTGTGTTCCCACCAAGGGTGCCTATGATGGTGATGGGACAGAGGAATGGCCTCCCTAGGAAATCTCAAGATGTGGTCAGGCTCATACGGGGAGAAACATTTCTTCAGCTAACCTGGATCTGACCCATGTAGGGCTTTGTAGGCCAACACTAGTACTTTGAATTGTGCTCAGAAACAGACTGGCAGCCATTTGCGCTCTTGCAACAAGGGAGCTGCAGCCTTGGCAGACAAAGTATGCAGAGCGATTATAGCAGACAGTAGAAATCATTGTATTTCATTTTCCTTTGGCCATTTTGAAGATGTACTGAGATTCAATGGGCCACTTAGCTTTGACATCTGTTGACGCCCTTGTCCAGTTCATCATCACTTGCCCTTGCTGGGTGTGAAGGTTGCCAACCAGCCAAGTGGAACAGAAACAGCCTGGCTGCATATTTGAAGTCAGGATCTTGCCTGGCAACTGAGAGGAAAGCCATTTTTTTCCTCCCCTCATTTGCTTTCCAATTCATGTGAATAATTCATCTTTAATGGTTAGCATCCAAAAAGGGAAAGAAAAGGTGAAGGGAAATGCAGACACCACCACACTTTCTCCTCTTCCCATCCCTTGACACTGTGAATCAGTTCACACATGCGTTGGCATCCCCTGATAACTCTTGACACACCGATGAATGGGTGAAACAGCTCCGTCAAAAAACATTGCACTGAAGGAGATGGGGACCTTGCCTTCCTCTGGCATTACTGCTTGGCTGAGATTGCATAGCCACGGCATCGTTTCTTTCCAGCGCCAGAAAAACTTGGAAAAGTTCCTTATTTCTTTTTTGGACTACATCTCCCAGAATCCCTCCAGTCAGTATGACAGCCACAGCCATTGCCCATCCTTTTTCTCCCAGCCAATCCTTTGTTGATGAAGGTCAATAAGCTTGCCTGGGGGATGTTGGGAGTTATAGTCTTTCTCAAACATCACGGACCCAAGTTCAAGCAGGGGTAGAATCTGTACTGGGTGAGATTTCTCTCTTTCCTATCATCTTCCCCTGCTTTCTTCCGCATACACTTTATACATTATGATGCTATCACCTTTGGGAGATCCAGCATTGCTTTTCCCCATTCATAATTCAGCCTGACACAGCGCAGCAAAAATCAATTCACACTTATAAGAAAGTGCCACAGCAAATTACTTCCTGAAGCATCCAACATTGCTCTCTTCTCTCCCTGTGACTCTGTCTTTGGGGCTGAGTCTTCCCTTGCAAATTAACCTTGTTGGCCTCTACGTGTTACAGAAAGGGACTTTCCGGTCCCGCTACAACTGATGAGCCTGCTAGCCAAGGGACTGTGCACAACCTCTGGCTTGTAGCCCACCCTTCTGTATCCTCGAAGTGTGCAAGCAGTCCATTCTGGCTAAGAATGCACTGCAAATTTCATGTGCTTCCCTCTCACCCACCCCCAAACCTCCTTCCCAACCAGCCTCATTCAATCGGAGAGAAAAGAAAATTGCTTCTGGGTATTCTTTTTCTTCAAAGAAATATTGGTGAAAGAGAAAAGAGGTTAGCAGAGGAGGTGAAAAAGAAAGAAGGGAGGGAAAGAGTGGTAGAGAGAGGTGAGACCAATGGAGACAGGGTGGGAAGAGGAGGCATGTTTGCCACACTGCAGAAATAAAGCAACTTGACACCGATTTAACTGCCATGGCTTGATGCTATGGAATTCTAGGATCTGTAGTTTGATGGGACATCAAAGCTGTCTGGCAGCAAAGGCTAAATAGCTCTGCCAAAGAGTGCTGGTGACCCACAAGACTGCAAATCCCAGGTTTCTGTAGTAAAGAGACATGACAGTTAAAGTGGTGTCAAACTGCATTCTTTCTACAGTGCTGATGCACCCCTCAACTCATGAGTCAATGGCTGAATGTTGAGAAGATGTAAGTAAATCTCATTAATGGAATGGGTCTCCTTTCTTGAACACCAAGAAGAGGATTTAGGCCAAAATATTGGATTGTAATACTACATGTGCTATTGATTATGAAAAGGACTGACTTGATTTTGACCTGCCCTCAGCTGCAGTAGGGATTAATATTGATTTGTGCTTTGATGAGCTGGGGGAATGAAATGGACTGCTAAGTCTGTGCTTTCTTATGCAGCAAAATCTATAATGATGTGCCAGGATTTGTGGTACTGTTGCTGAGTATTATGTATAGGCATAGATTTAGTCACAGTGAAATGAAAAACCAATTCTGTAATCCAGAGGTGAGGAACATGTAACCCTCCACACTGTATCTCCCCATATAGGCCTGTCTGGTCTCTGAGATCTTCACAGGAACAGTTGATGGGGACTTGAGATAGGCCTTTTTGGTGGCTGCTTCTAGGTTCTTCAACTCCCTTGCTAGGAAAACTAGAATGGTCTTCATCTTAATGTCCTTCCATCACCAGGTGAAGGGTCTTTTGGGAGCCAGTGTGGTTCAGTGGTTTGAGTGCTAAAATACAACTCTGGAGGCTAGGATTCAAACCCTTGCTTTGCCATGGGAACTGACTGGGGTCATGTCTACCCTGCCTACTAAAGGAGAATTATGCCACAGACTGGACTAATCATGACCACACATGCCAGGCCAAATCCAGTGTGATGTCACATAGTTGTGCACATGCCTTATCAGCCCTGGTTACCCATGTCCCTCAGTGCCTCCATCCCCATTGCTTCCTTGCAGTCCAGGAGCTCTGTGTAAAGCCTGCTTGGCATGTCATCATTTCTGCTGGGATCAGAAAATGGTGCCCTGCAATCAACAAGAAGGAAGTAGAGCAACCCACATCTAGATTGCTGGTGGTAACATATCCAAAAGGTGTCCAGTCATGGGATCTAGGAAGGTGGGTCACTCTATCCCACTCCTTGTTGTTCTCACAGATGCCCCATTCTGACCCCAGCAGAAGCCGCAGCATGCTGGGCAAGCACTGTTATGGTGTAAGCTAGGCTTACAACATTCACATTTCCTATTCATACTTCCAATCATTGCACCACTGCCACCATAGTAAATGTCCACCTTAAAAGCCAGCCAGTTGTGCTCAGGGACAGAGTTTGGCAGAGCTGGCGAGCGGACTGGTGCAGGGCAACATGATCAGCCCCTTCTGCCAGTGGTGTGAGGATTAGAAGCAGGGATGCCCACCAAGGTCCTGTCACAAAATCTTCACTGTAGCATCATTAATGGATGAAAGGGGGTCTGGTCACATCATTCTTCATCACCCCACTCTCCAGCCCCACAGAACTTCATCTCTTAGGACAGCTGGCTTTTAGGGTGGGTTTCAGGGATTGGATCAGGAGATGGAGCATAGCTATGATGTAGCTATCTCAACCTATGCATTTTTTTGTGCAAAATTATTATAAATACTGTTTGCACATTATAAATTGTTTGGGGGAAATTATTTTATACAAAAATGCATGGGCTGAGATCCTGCAAATACTGGAAAAATACTGTGCAGAAATCTCTTGTTTTTATCCATAGTGGGGAGAAATCTCATACGATTAATCCGTAAATGCAAGGATGAAAGATCTCATCACTCCTCTGTGACTACATCCCTACTGAGAGCAACCCTCCTCCAGCTGTACAATGGCATGTGTAGCCTACTGGTTCACATCAAGCTGAATTGGATGTTTTGCTTTTCCCTCCCATGCATTTGGCATCATCTGCCATTCTTGGTTAAACTCCTGTCTAAACGTTTCATATTCACTGAGACACCAACTGTCTAGAAGCTGGTTTGCCTAATCTGGGGTGGCACAAGATTTATTTTTCCACTTCTTTGGTTTTAAGAGTCTCTTGCATACAGTCCCCATGTCCTGTGGTACAAGGCAGGAATGGGACATGTCTGGATTTTCAGATTTCATCAGACTGCAAAGCTCTTTACAAATGGATGGAACTGGCAAGAATAGGAGCCTTATCACATCTACAAAAGGCAGGGGAAACATGCAGCTCATGGGCCATGTGGGGCTCTTTGGAGGGTCCACAATGATATGCAATGTGTCCAATAGCACCTCATGCACAACTCTGCTTCTGCAGCCTTGAAATGAATGCAGCCATTCCATATTGGGTAGAGCCAGCATGCTGTAGTGTTTTGACTCTGGAGACCAGGGTTCAATTCTCAGCTTGGCCATGAAACCCACTGAGTGACCTTGGGCAAGTCACATGCTCTCAACCTCAGGGGAAGGCAATGGCAAACCTCCTCTGAACAAATCTTGCAAAAAAAAAAAAAAATCCATGACAGATTTGCCTCTGGGTTGCAGTAAGTCAGAAACAACTTGAAGGTACACAACAACAACAAATTCCACATTGGACAAAAATGTCCCACTCCTTTTGCAGAGGATGTTATGCATGCACAAAATACGTGATTCTGTCTTGACATAGCAATTGGATTAAGAGAGTTTGAGTGTCTTGATTTCCAGACTGCTGTTGATGGAGGTGGGAGGCATCTAGGGGAAAAAAAAAAGGTTCTGAAGTGGGAGGAGAGGAAAAGAAATGGAAGAAAGAAGTGACCGCTCAAGACCAAACTCCTGCTGTCCTGTCCAATGCACTGCATCATTTCCCCTTGTCCTTTGCTTGTCAGTCATCATTGCTGCTATCACTAGTTGATTTTATGTAGACTTTCCTCCCTTTCTCCTACATGATTAGCACTTCTATTAATGGCATCTGGTATGCATAGCATCCCCAAAATAGGAGAGGATCAGTGTGCTTCAGCCCCAAAGATGACAAGGCAGGGTTACATCTTGCTGGTAACCATGAATGAGTGACAGCATAAGACAGAAGTGACTTGGAGGGACCCAGTAGGGGAGGAGGAAGACTGGATGCAATGTTGCTCAGTGAATAGCTCATGGTAATTTGCATCTAAGGGATACATATTCTTCAAAGGGCTATATTTCTGCAAAGATTTGGCATTCTATATTGTGTAGACTCCAATCCTGCTGGTGTCTTTGTTGTTGTTATGTGCCTTCAAGTTGACTCTTACTTATGGTGATCCTATTACAGGGCTTTCTAGGCAAGATTTATTCAGAGGAGGTTTATCATTGCCTTCCTTTAAGGCTGAGAAGATGTGAGTTGCCCAGGTCACCCAGTGCATTTCCATGGTTGAGTGGGGATTTGAACCCTGGTCTTCTGGAGTCTTAGTCCAGCACTGAGACCAATACACCAAGATGGAGTCCTACAAATGCATAAGTTCCCCTACCAAAGCATTTGGGCATTTTTGTCCAATGTGGAATGGCTGCATTAATTTCAAGTTTGTGAAAATGGAATCACACAAGTGGTGCTTTTATGTATGGATGTACATAATGCACAACTGATTTGAATCAAGACACTCAATGTGTCTACATCTCCAGTGTTGGAATTCAGCCCAGGTGCCCCAAAGCCTCAGCCAAACTTTATTCCTATATGGATTAAATTTTTTTCTTATTTTTGAAACTTAAAAAAATATCTGCCTTCACACACCATCTACTCTTTCCTCTTCTAGTAAAAATGTCTTTGTTCATGCAAATGACTTTTAAAGTCCCAAAAGAGCTGGACAAACATCATTGATTCTACCAAAACCCTGTGCAGAGACTGAATGCATGCAGAGAGAAAGGAGAAATTTGGCTTCTATCATAATGCATGGTTTTATTATTTTTCATTTTCTTTTTATTCTTTTAAAAACATTGACAGTGGCAAACACACCAGTCTCTATCCCTTGGTCCCCCAAATTAACAATATAATTATAACAGTACATCAACTATAGTCACATGTAAAAAAAATCACCTATAAATAATCAAAGTAACCAGACATGCAGACACACACATACACAAAATTATTAGTTGTTCTATTTCCACAATAAATTAAGACCCACTATGTCAACAATCCAATGGATTAGTTGAAGGTCCATTTTCAACATTACATTGTTGAAAATACATGAGTACTATGTTTTTACAGAGTGATCCTCCTTCATTTCTTGCCATATGAAAACAATTAATTTTTCTGGCAATGCAACTGGTTATATTGTGTCAAGCTATCAGTGAAATGTATGTCTTTGGGCATTTCCAGTGTTGCAGCCTGTAAATTGGAGCGAGTGCCTCATAATTCGGATGCAGAGCTTAGAAATGTTACATTTGGGACTACAATTCTCCACATGCCTAACCCGCATGGACCAAAAGTAACATTTTTCTAGTGCTTCTTGGAATGTTGGGAGTGGAAATGGATGGATCTCTCATTTTTGCTTTCTCCCTCATGTTTCCTTTTTAAAGCATTCAAATTCTATTAGATCACCACCACCACCATCATATCATCTTTCTTCCTCTTCCCCTTCATTTTAGTATATTAATCTAAATGAGATCAGCCTTAATTAAATTTTAATGTTACAAGAGAAAGCAGAGCTTTGAAAACTTACTTTTAAATATCCTGGCTCACAGAATCCCTCAGGCTAGAGTGGCCAGCGCAACTTGGATCCATGTTGTTAACTTTCCCAAACTCTATCAGAAATAGATTACGTTTGCTGAGATCAATGGTGGATGGAGATTTCTTTGTCAGTGGGTTGATGAATCCCTGCTGGGTTAAAAGAGCTGTTTCCAGTGCTGAAGAGCATCATCCCAAAATAAGGTCAGCACCTTGGATAACTCCTTTACTAGGAGCCACCAGCTACTGTGATTGTTGCAAAATGCATGTAATTTTAACAGGAAGGAGGGATGAATAGAAATAAAGAAGACTGAAACATAGGGGAAATAAAGATGTCTTTAAACCCTATTTACTTATTTATTGAAATATTTGCATCCTACATTAAATCATGAGATCTCAAGGCAACGTACAAGTAAATTAACCTGTTAAAAACAATAAAAACCCAGTTTTAAGAGACTAAAAGCATATTAAACAATAGGCAGGTGAAAACAGTGTAAAACTCAGTATGTGTACATTTTGGAAAAATGAATTAGGACCAAATGTGGCCTTGCTGCCTGTGGATTCTGGAAACTGTAGTCCAAAGTGTACAAAGAAGATCTAACATCCCCATTTTTTAATATGGCCCAGAAAGCTGGATATTTTAGAAGACTCTGGTGCATGTGGGGCAGATTTGGCTTTCACTGGAGCCACTCCAGAAATGGGTCTTGTGAATGCCATGAAAGTCTTCTTGCATCTCCCTCTCCCCTCCCTGAGTCAGAAATATCACATCTTTGTTCTAGGTATCATGCTGAAAAGCTGAGGATTGTCTTCCTCCCTCTTTGGCTTCCTACAAATCTCTCTACCTTCTTGAACGCTGGGTCTCTTTCTGTTGCATTCCCCCCCCAAGAAAAACAAACCCCATCTACTTTTGCTTTGCTGTTTTTCTTACTCTGTCATGCATTCCAAGCTGGGCCAAATGAGATGGTCTTCCACTTTATTTTATTTGCTACATGATGCTCACCTGGGCCATAAACCTCCTGGAAGGCTCTCAAGTCATCTTACCCAACACATCCTTCT